TAGAGAACATGACCTATGAAGCCAGGCTTCGTGAACTGGGCTTGTTTAGTTTGGAAAAAAGAAGATTAAGGGGGGACATGATAGCGGTTTTCAAATATCTAAAAGGGTGTCACAAGGAGGAAGGAGAAAATTTGTTCCTCTTGGTTTCTGAGGACAGGACAAGGAGTAATGGGCTTAAAGTGCAGCAGGGGAGGTTTAGATTGGACATTAGGAAAAAATTCCTAACTGTCAGGGTGGTCAAATATTGGAATAATCGAGAGCTTCTCTGGTGGAATCTCCCTCTCTGGAGATATTTAAGAACAGGTTAGATAGACATCTGTCAGGGATGGTGTAGACGGAGCTTGGTCCTGCCTTGAGGGCAGGGGACTGGACTCGATGACCTCTCGAGGTCCCTTCCAGTCCTATTATTCTATGATTCTATGATTCTCTGACTGGGGATTACCATGGCCCCTCCATTTCGCCCTATCACTTCAGTGTCTCCCCGGGACCCAACACCTTTTGGAGGCCTGTCAGTGCTATCGCCTCCACATGGCACACTCTACCTTCCTGGTGCCTCCCGACCCAGGGGGCTGCTCCTTGTCCGGCATGCAGACCAGTCGCTGGCGCTCGCCGAGTGGCAATGACAGGTCTTGCTGAGAAGGCAGAATTTGCTCCACTTCTCCTTTGGAGTTAAAGTACAAAATCAGTTGGGACAGTGACTGCAGTTGGATGCGGGATGGCTACAAATGGCCCCACTCTGGAGCGGGACCTGGGGCAAGTCACTTCATGACTCTATATCTCAGCTTCACATTTATAAAAAAGGGATCGTTAGTCTTCCTTTGTCTAGTTAGCCTGTAAGCGCTTTGAGGCAGGGGCTCTCTTCCTATATCTTTGTGCAGCACCTTGCACGGCGGACACCTCCCCCAAGTGCTGCTATCACAACAACAACAGAGCATTGTTGAGGCAGATTGCTATGTTGAGGGGGTGGGGCATCTCTCCCACCTGATTTACTCTATTGGTTAGATGCTCATAATCTCCTATTTCTTGCTTCACCGTAGACCAGATCACAGTGTATCTTGGCTGCACACAATGGAATTGGATCAGGCTTTGTGTGCCAAGTCTGGCTCTCAGAGACCTAAACATCAAGTGCATCTGAAGGAAAGGATTCAAAGGTCTTTGCTTTACTTGGTAGCCAGACTCCTCCCCAACATTGCCCCAGGGTCTGAGTGGTAAGGTAACAGTGAGCTGAAGGCAGCAATCCTCTTGGGGGGGGGAACCAACTGGCAATTTGCTCACGGGTATCGTAACGCATTTATCAAGGCAGTCTCAGAACGGTCCCCTAACGCTAGCAGCCTCTCTGTCCCTGAGGCACCTCAATGCAGAATGGCTGCACACCGGATGGATGGTTCAGTCGCAGCTAATATAACAAATGAAGGAAGAGAGAGTATCGGAGCACAGGCTGGAAGCTGAAGTCCCTGTGCATCCCTGAGCCAAGTCTCAGAGCAGGAGCACAGAGAGGAGGGAGTATCACCAGAACGTGGAAGTCAGGGAATGAATTACTGAGTATTTTGTAGTTCTCTGGGGAGGAGGAAGACAGATCCTACCTCGTCTGGCCATTGCTCCATATATCCACCTGGGACTGAGAGAGGCTGAAAGCAGGGGGAGGGGAAAGTTGCTTGCAGAGGAACATTCTAAAACATCCCAACATTTCAACCGACCTCTGTGATCTCCATACAGGGTGTTGCAGGGAAGTGGGGGCTCGCCCACCATTGAGGCTGCATCAAAGCTGGCCATTTCAGATATTTTCTAAGTCTTTTGCTACCGTGTACAAAATAAATGTCCACGTGATGTGACACCTTCAAAACAAAACACCTCAAAAGCTTTTCCCTAGAGAATGTCACCAAAATCGATAAGTTGCCACGAAACCATTTGGATTTCAGAGTACCAGAGTTCCATTTGGACACAGCATCAGTCTAATGCGGAGGCAGCGTGTATGGTGAAATAGTGTGAAGAGGCCCAGGAAGGGGCTGGTGGCAATATGAACTGACCCTCAATGGGGCTGAGAGGGCTGGACTCGTCTCAGGGATGGCCGGAGACACCGGGGAATAACCGCTGGTGGTATAATATTTGCAAGTGGCTCTCCCACAGCTGATCATGGTAGCCACAACCCATTAGCTAAATGCGATCACAGAGATCAGACCCTAGTATCGGCCTGAGAGCCAACGAACCATTCCCCAATGAGTTCACACACTGCTCTCAGGGAGAGGCCAGGACGCTTCTCTGGCTGCTTTCTTGGAGCTCAAGGGAACTAAGAACAGGGACACGTGAGGTCCTGCTCTACCCTGGTGCCTACAGACAAGAGCTATTGCCTCCTTCTGCAAATCCCACGGAAAGAAGCCCCAGAGAAGAGGAGCCTTAGGCTGTTGTGTACAAATCAACAGCCTTTCAGTACCATGGAGAGGGCAGCTCTTGCTCTTGTCAAGGAAGTCTCCTGCTGGAGAGAAGCGAGTGCTTATGGTTTGCAATATCAAGAGGCTATTAAAATTCTATTAGCCGTGCAGCTGGCAGCCTTGAAAGATGTACCACCTACTTCCACAGCATTTGCGATCATTCCCCCCTCACCCCCGCTTTATCTGCTTCACACATCACTGTCCTATAATTGAGATCCCAGTTTCTAATTCCCTACCTTTTGCATATTTTAAAAGCATTTAACTCCCTCCTGTGCAGTCAGTCAGAAAAGAGCTTCACCCAGCATTAAACTCTGGGAAATTTCTCATTTTACTTTTTAATAACATTTTGCCCGAGTCTCTTTGTCTGGTCCTTGAGCCATTCCCTTCCACTCCATCTCAGGAGGGAAACTGGCTCTCCCAGCACCTTGAGGGCAGCTGTTATCACTTGTAGATGGTTTGCCTGTGCCAAAAGCCAAATTGGCCTCAGCTTGGCAGTCTCGTGCTCTGGCTGGGCTCCATGGATAATCCAGCCAGGCCCCGAGAACATTAACATGGGCGGAATGAGGCACTCATGCTGATTAAGTGGCCGAAAGGACACGGAGAAGATATTTTTCAGGAGTTTTTTTCCTCCCAGAAACACTTTGGGAACTGAAAGAGATTTACTGGCAAAGTTCAGGGATGGGAGGCAGCCCTGGGCCAGCGGCCTTGACAACAGGCCTCTGAGGCACTGTAGCTGCAGCCTACAGGTACTCTTATTGTGTTCCCCTGTCCATCTCCGCCTGTTATTTCTTGTCGTGTTCTTAGACTGTGAGCTGTTTAGGGCAAAGCCCTGGTTTTTTGTTCTGTGTTTGTACAGCACCTAGCACAGTGGACCTAGCACAATGTTCCATGACTGTGATAGGCCAGGTGGTACCACAGTACAAACTGAGAACACTCATACGGTGTGTCTACACTGCACCCGGAGCTCGGAATAAGCTACGCCATTTGAGCTATGCAAATTGCATAGCTTATTTCGAGTTCTTTTCAAAATAGTTTATTTCGAAATTTGGCTCCATCTCCACAGCACTTATTTAGAAATAAAAAGCTATTCCGAAATGTCCGTTACTCCTCAGGGAAAGGGGTTAACAGGGACGTCGGACTAGCGAGCCTGTTACATTTCAAAACAACGGGCATGCTCAAAAGATGCAGAATAGCTATAGTGCTGCAGTGTAGATGTAGCCATAGGGCCTATTCTTGGCTGCCACCAGCAGTATCACCAGGAGTGGAAGGGAGAATCATAGAGGAAACTCACCCCACCAGTGCAAGGGATGGAAAGGTGGCTTTTGGCCAAAATCAATCCAGAGTGGTAGGGGGCTGATCTCCCACCAGGACCTCCATTTCCACCAAGAGAACCAGCTGCAGCAAATTGCATGGCCCTCTGGTCAGCCACTTGTGCAGAAGGAAGGGTGCAGTAGACTAGCTAAAACTCCGTATACCATGTCTGAGTAAGTGCTTAAAATTTGTCAGCCCTCTACGCGGGGTGACTTTCACCCTAGCATTCAAAGTACTTGGAGCTGCTCAGAGGGAACTAGCTCCTGCTGTGAAAACTGTCCTTCCATTCCCCGCTTGCATTGTTAATGATGCCAGGTTCAGGCAGGGATCGGTATCTCTCATTGCAGAGCACTGAAGCATTCGAAACAGCCTATAAAGAACAACGGTCTGGCAATTACCGTGGAGTTATATGGAAGGCTCTGCCGATAGATCATGGGCAGCTTGGCTCACAGATGGCCTTGTCCTGCCACTGTGGTAACTGACTTGTAAATTAGGCCACTCTAGTGAGATTCAATCTTTGTAAAGAGCAAAGGGAAAAAGCAATCGGGACCAGCTGCATGGAGGTGCCTGGAGTCTTTCACCTCCAGGGCACCATGCACATCCAGCATGGGGTACTAGTCTGACTCATCACCACATGGAGGCAGATCCAGGGCCTCTCTCCACTCAGCTGTCAAACTCAGTCCCCTTCACTCTATAGGAAAAGCCTCATCAGTGGCACTCTCAGCAGAGAGGCCCTGGCTTGAATAGGTTATAGGGACTGAACCATTGGCTTTACCATGGGGGCAGTTTTCAGGAAAGATGTGGAGGAATTGGAGAAGGTCCAGAGAAGAGCAACAAAAATGATTAAATGTCTAGAAAATGTGACGTGAGGGAAGATTGAAAGAACTGGGTTTAGTTTGGAAAAGAGAAGAGTGGAGGCACGACAACAGTTTTCAAGTTACAGTAAGGCTTTGTCTACACTGCACCTGTTTTGCGCAAGAAATATGCAAATGAGGTGAAGTGTGGAATATCACCATGCCTCATTTGCATAATTAATGAGGCTCCGTTTTTGTGCAAAACCCTCCTCTTGCGCAAGACCTGTTCTTCCACATTTTTTTCAGGAAGAACGGCTCTTGCTCAAGAGGGGTTTTTTGTGCAAAAGCCTCTTGTGCAAATCCAGAGCCCCATTAATTATGCAAATGAGGCATGGCAATATTCCATGCTTTGCCTCATTTGCATATTTCTTGTGCAAAACAGGCGCAGTGTAGACAGAGCCTAAGAGTGTTACAAGGAGGAGGGAAGAAACGTGTCCTCCTTGACCTCTGATAATAGAGCAAGCAGCAACGGGCTTACCTTGCTGCTAGGGAGGTTTAGGTTGGACATTAGGAAAAACTTCCTGGCAGGGTGGTTGAACACTGGAATAAATTACCCAGGGAGGTTGTGGAATCTCCGTCATTGGAGATTAAGAGCAGGTTAGACAAACACCTGTCAGGACTGGTCTAGATAGTGCGTGGTCCTGCTGTGAGTGCCGGAGACTGGACTCAACCACACTGAAGTTCCTTACAGTTCTAGGATTCTATGTGTGGGGTACCTCCAAGGGGTGGTGCTGGTAAAAGGTGTTAACAGGATAGCACATGGGGGAAGCTTGTGTTGCCCCAGCCCCGTCAGTACCTGCTCTGTGGACAAAGGGATTTGGACGTGCAGAGGTATCAATCCAGCACCTTGCCCCATCCCAACTCTGACTGTAAGCTCCTAGGGGCAGGGCTTGGCTTTGTGTTCTGTTAGTACACTACCGCAGGTCCAGGAGGAGGGCTTCTGCATCCTATGGCAATACAAACAATAGTCAGTAGGCAGGCCTGTGCCCTGCAGTCTTTTAGGCAGAGCAGAGGGGCAAAGCTCTAAGTGGAACAGAAGAGCTTCAAAAAGATGAGAGAATTCCCCAAGAACCATGAGAGTGAGCAGGAGGGTGGGAGGAGGAATCACAGTGCTGGAAACCACCTCCCCGTCCCTCACCCCCAGCCCCGGCTTGCAAGGGCCTGGGATTCTGCTGACGCCAGGGACACCTCCAGCCCTGGGTGGAATGCAGCTCCTTGCCCTGCTTGGGAGGGTGTTATCCACAGAGACAGGCAACACAGACCCCATGGCCCCAGGCTCGGCAGGTACAAAACATCTTTACAGCTCTCCCCTCCCTTATCCATTCCCTGTAGTGATCATCTCCCTCACCCCCCTTAGAGGCTTGGGAACAGGATTATTGCTTTCCTCCCTTCCCCTCCCCTCCCGCTTTCATATTACAACTCAGATGGCTGCTGCCACACTCTTAGAGAAACTGGGCCCAAAGAGCTTTGGCAGCCTCAGTGAGACAGCACGAGGGAAAGGAATGACCCACCAGCGCAAGGGATGGAGAGGTGGCTTGTGGCCAAAATCAATCCAGAGCGGTAAGGGGCTGATCTCCCACCCGTACCTCCATTTCCATCAAGAGAACCAGCTGCAGCAACCTGCATGGCCCTCTGGTCAGCCACCTGGGCAGAAGGAAGAGAGAAGGGGGGGGGGGGGTTTCAAACCACAGTGTAAGGGACTAGGGCAACCCCTAGGGCAGGGGAGGCCAACCTGTGGCTTGAGCCGCACATGGCGCTTTGCTCACAGAAATGCAGCTCTCAGGGTTACAGCTCATTCGGAGCCATGTGCCCGTGTCTGGAGGGTGGCGGTGGCAGCTCCAGTGAGACCCAGGCATTGGGTTAAAATGGGCTGGGGGAGGGCATTGGGTGCCAGGGAGAGGGTAGTGGGTTAGAGTGGGAGGACTGGGGGGTGCCTGGCTCTTTGAACTACTATCCACAGCTCTTGTGGCTCTTAGGCTGGGTCTAGACTACACCTCGCTGTCGACAGATGTAGATCAGGCATGTCGAAATTGCTAATGAAGCAGGGATTTAAATATCCCGCCCTTCTTAGCATAAACAGGGCCACCACTTTTTTTCTAAATGGAGCTTTTCAAAAAATAACCAGCAGTCTAGATGCGGATCGGTCGAAAATAAACCCTTTTCAAAAAAATGAGGTTTACAGGATCTGTCATAAAAGGGTTTATTTTCGACAGATCCAGGTCTAGACTGATGGTTTTTTTAAAAAAATCTCAGTTTAAAAAAAAACCCAACAAAAACCGGCAGCCCTGTTTACGCTAATGAAGGGCAGGATATTTAAATCCCTGCTGCATTAGCAATTTCGACGTGCCTGATCTACATCGCTGTTGACAGAGAGGTGTAGTCTAGACACAGCCTTAGTGTCTAAGTGGTTGGCCACCCCTGCCCTAGGGGATAAGAATAGGCTCTGTTCTGGGGACCTTGGACACAGCAGCTGTGGTGGGAAGAACACGCACGTAGGGCAAACTGGGGTGAAGTCTGGCTGGCCCGCCTAAGACTGTGGGGAGCTAGGCTCCACTGCAAAGCAGTCCTGCAGCATGGCAATGCCTCAGGTGAGCAGAGGAGCTGGGCTGATAGGAATCTGAGGGGGGGTCCTGCACAGGGAGGCAATGACCACAGAAAAAGCAGAAGGGCAGACCACACAGGAGGCAGGTTGGCTACGTCAGTGGCAGGCAATAGCTGAGACAGAGTCCAGCCGGAACACGAGCAAAACATTGCTCCTCCACTGTTACCGAACGCCCTTCCTTGGCCGCACATTTGACATGGGTCCGGAGGTGTCCCCTAGTGGCCATGATGCAGGGACCAGCAGCAGTTTTGCAGAGGACAGTAAGAGTGACAAAGCTGAGAGGAGTCAGCAATTGAGCTGTACACCTTTGAGGAGGAAGCGGGGAGGACGGGTGGGGGGCAGAGGAGCTGGAGCTACTATTGCGGGGGGAAGGGGTGTATGTGCTGCAACACAGAACACGCCCAGTTCACTGCCTTTTATAGGTCCAGCAGGCCCTGGGAAGGAGAAGCTGGGCTGACTGGATGGTGCTTTGAGATTCTCCAGTGAGAGGCATTAGGACAGGCACAGGAGCCTGAGAACGTCCCATCAAGGACACTGACTGCACGGTGCCCTTGATCACAAACAAGGGAGCGACGGTTGCAGGGTAGCTGCAGAGAGAGGACACCAAGAGCTCAGAGGCGCATGGAGTTCTTTTAATGAGCAATGGAGTGCCGGAGTCCAAGCTTCAGGACCAGGACATGTAGAGAACAACTTACACATCCACTGTCACTTGTATTCTTGCTCCCAAGATCAACGTGCCTCCCAAGGGCCAGCCCATTCCCCGGACTGAGTCTTCTACTTCTAGCTACAAGGGGACGCTGGCTACTTGGCCTCCCTTGCTGATAGTACCCATCAGGCAACGGATGGATACACCGACTGGCCTGTCGCTGTATTGCAGAACGGGCCTCGGAACCGATATGACAGCAAGGATTAAAAAACAGGAGTCGCCCTGTTCATGCTTCTGTTTCCCACCCCCACCCTCCTTTTTTTTTTTTTTTCTTTTTTAAAAAGTGACTAGACTTTGTGACAGCTGAGGCTGCTCCTGTAACACGGTTACTCCAGCAGGACTAGAGGGAGAGCTACTGTGAATGCAACAGAGGGTATGAATTCTGACCTCTCCAAGGAAACAGTGGCTGTGATGTTCAGGCCTGTTGCCTGCTGGGAGCTCTCCCAGGAGGAGAGCAGGGTCCCTCCCTGTACACCACTCCCTTCCCCAAGTTAGAGAACATTGCTAGGCAGGCGTCCATGTCAGTTATAAATACAACAAGTGATCTGGGGCAGGCCAGGGAGGAGGAGGAAGAGGGGGAAAGCTATCTTACATTCCCAATACTGGAAAGACGAGTTTTGACCCCAAGCAGCGAGGAGCTCGGCCAGTCTCATGGCCTTGCCACCTTTAAAGCGCTAGCAGACGGAATGTTGACTGGCACAGGCTCAACTCTGGCCAGCCGGCAGTGTTGGCAGCCAGCTGAGAAAGTCCCCACGCTGCAGCACCGAAGATCTCAGGGTCCAACTCATGGGGGGAAAGCAGCGTCTCAGGCGCTCACACATCGCTCAAGGCCTGGAGATACCAGAGAGAGGGGGAGAGAGAGAGTTAACTGTCTGGAGAAGTGGCAAACCAGCACGTAGACCTACTAGACAGGGGAGGGGAACTGTATTTCTGGGCATGCTCATTTTACATCCCAATGCCAGTAGCCTGGGCAATTCCTCTAGCGCCCTCAGCCGGTCTCCCTTCTGCTGTTGCACCTTTCACAGCCAGGGCGTAGGCCTGACTGGAACAGAGATGGCTCCAAAGGGGTGATGTAAACCATGGAGAAATCCTTCAGCAATGCCTACTGCACTCCAGATTAGTTCTCTGCAGTATTCTCCACCTATTTGTGTGCACCAACAAGCTGCGTGTTCCAGAAACATCTGCACCCTCAGCTTAATGGACAGCTCTAAAAGGAAGCCAAAGCATGCTGATCTGCCCTGGGTTCACCACACCTCACCCCGAACAGCCAGCACACACTTCTCATGCGGCTAGCTCTGCACACCCTTCCAGCCTAGTATCACTCCCACGCTCCCTGGAATTAATGAGGGAAAGTCCTTAGCTAGAGGCTAAGGGTCCCAGATAGGGATGTAATCGTGTAGTCGATTAACTGATAAGCAAAAGCTTATAGGTTAATGCTATAGACTACACGTATTCCCTTCCTCCTCCCCCCAAGTACATTTTTTAGCATGATGGCCAGCAACCTGGCTCATGTCTGGCTTGTGACGGGTCTGGGACCTACCCTTGCTGCGGCTCTTCATTTAAAGTGTACTAGAAGCTAGGCTGGCAGGCAGCCTAGTTCAGTTCTGGCTTGCCCTGGCTCTGGGAGCACAGACCTCCCCTCACCCCAGACAGGGGCTGCTGCCACCCACTGCTGCTGCCTCTGATACAGAGGCAGCAGCATGGGGTAACAGGCAGCCCATCCGTGAGGGCTCCCCTCGCAGACCAGCACCCACCTGGCACCCTGCGCTGCTGCCTCCGAAGTGGGGTTGGAGCACACTGGCTGCTGGCCCCACCTCCAGGTACTAGAGAGCAGTGTTTCTCAACTTTTTTTTTGGTTAATATAAAGTACCCCTTTAAAAATATATATAAGTACCTCCAATTTTTAGGCACAAAATTTTTTTCTACTATTGCAACATATTTGTTTAAACAACTTAATCGTAACCGGGTGCACGATGGAATTTTTGGGTGTAAAAAGTACAAAAAAAATAATAAAACGCTGTCAAACTTAACAAAAATTCAGTTTTCTCCAAGTCTCAGTTGTGTTGATGTACCCTACAGACTTCTCTTGAGTACCCCAAGGGTACTCATATCACTGGTTGAGAAAACTGATAGAATAGTCAACTAACTGATAAGAATTCATGAGGTTACTCGACTATTTAATTAACCGATATTTAACATCCCTAGTCGCACAAGCAGGACTGAGCACTCCCTGCCCAAGGAGCCTTGTACTTCTAATGAAGGTGTGCCGCCAACAGCAGAGCATACACAACAGCTGGAGAAAAAGCAGCTGCCAACAGGGCCAGAGTGGGAACCTGCATCCCAGATAAGTAGCTGTAGGCCACTCCACAGAAAGATAGGTTCTCCCTAGCCGTTGTGGGGGCGGGGTGAGGAGCTGCAGGCTCTCTTACCTTCCGTGCAAACTCAGGCAGGATGAAAGCTGCCTGATGGATTTCAGAGTTGTAGTATTTCAGGTTCATCTTTTCCACTTGCTGCTGCGATAGCTGCTGCACAGGTTTCCGGAAATTTGTGCTCTGCAAAGAGGGAACGTTCAAACAGAGCATGTATCATCCATAGAGGGGGCCTGCTGCTGGGAACAGACAGTGAGAACACACAGGAATGTGGATTTTTTTATGGCATTTTCCATCCAGGGATCACAAGCACTGCACAGCAAAAGCCTCTTAGGCTCTGGAATCTGCAAACCTGACTCACATGACTAGCTCGCATTCAGAGGCTGAAGTCAGCGAGACCAACTCGCATGACTAGGGTCTAGGGATGTTAATTTAAGTTTAATCAACTACTCGACTGGTTGATGGAATTTCCATTGACTAGTCAATTAGTCTATGGGAACCGCAGCAGGGTTAGCTCCTGGCCCTGGGAACTTACCCTGCCAGGAGCTAACCCTGTTGCAGCTCTGCCTTTTAAATGTATTTAAAGCCGGCAGCACAGCAGGGGAGACCCCAAGTGAGCAGGGACAGCTGAGCGAGCCATCAGGCTCATAATACATTTAAAAAGCGGAGGTGCAGCATCTGAGACTGGGTGTGGCTCATGCCTGGTCCCCACTACTCTTCTGCCCCCTGCGGAGACCATGCTGGGGGGAAACCAGCTTTTAAGCCGGCTCCCCCCCCCATAGAGGCAGCAAGAGCGGTGGGGGAGAAGTGACTAGTCGAGGGACCAGTCGACTATCTGATAAGCTTATGCTTATTGGACAGTGGACTAGTTGCTTACATCCCTACTAGGGTCTTCCTAGCTGAGCCCTGTGCCAACCGAAGCTTTCCTACCACGACTGAGTGCCTGAGGATCAAACCGCTCACTCCTCATCCACATCTGTATTCAGCGCAGCACTGAATGCACAGCTGGCGTCCGAGGCTATGTCTAGACTCCAGGTTTCTCGCACAAGAAGCTTTTTTCGGAAGAGACTTCGGCAAAAGCTTCTTGTGCAAGAGTGTGTCCACGCTGCCTGGATGCTCTCGCAAGTAAGCAGTGATTCCTATGGACAGAATGGCCACTAGGGCACCTGTGCTTTTTCCTCTTCCCTCCTCTTGTGCAAAAAACTCTCAGAAAGGAGTCATTCCTCGTAGAATGAGGAATACCTAGGCGGGAAAAACCCCTCTGTTCTTTCGCTTTACTTGCGTAAACACACGCTTGAGGTGTGGACTCTGTAGGATAGACCTAGCCCCAGCTGAGAAATGCAGCCGGCATTCGGAACCAGGAGAGCCCAGCCATGTGCTGCAATTGTCCCGAGAGGGGGGACGGGAAGAGAAAGGCTCTGTGTCCAAGGCACTGCTTCAAGCCAGTCCAGTTGATCAGTGACTATTGGGTGACCAGCATGCCATGAGTTTGGTGGGTCCCCACCCAGTTCCCAGTGGACTGCTGCCTTCATCTCAAAACCAGAGGCTGTTGAAACTGACCTCCCTCATTCCTGGGCGTGGCCCTTCCACATTAGGCCGGGGGCTCCGGCACTGCTGCTGCCCCAGCTCAGTGGGAGCTACCCTCTATTTCCCTCCCTCTCACACATGTGCACATCAAGCCACTCAGGTCCACTAGCCAGTCGTAGGCTGGGAAAGCGGGAACATGGCTTCTAGATGCTGACTAGCAATGGCCAAGCACAGCACAGACCCAGAGGGGGCTTGGAGGTCCTGAGAAGATGGATCTAGATGCCACCTAGAGATCCTTCCGAGTTAGCCAGGTGCACAGCACAACAGCAGACTCTGCACACGAGAGGGCTTCCTAGTCTTTCAGAACGTATGGGGCTGATGGCTGTTAATCGAGCCAAGCCTGTTCCACGGTGCCCTCCGGCCTCCCCCTAGCAACACCCCAGGGATACGACAGGTGGTGGGACGCCGGAGACTCACTGGGTTCTTACTGCACAGCATGAAGCCGATCTGCCCGCTGGGATAGGTAGGGATGGTGCAGTAAGCGTATTCCACCACTGGGAACAGAGACTTGCAGAACTGACGCATCTCCTTAATGAGATCCAGGTGCAGCCACTGGCATTCACCTGTGCAGGTAACAGGAACAGATGGGAGATTAGAATAGACAAGAGCCACCGTTAGCACTATGAGCAGAGGTGTCAGGTTAAGGCTGGTTTTAAATCTGAAGACTAAGGCCTGGTCTAAGTTTTACTGGCAGAGCCACATCGGGATGGGCCGAGACATTTTCCCCCACTGGGATAGCTTTGCTGGTAGAAGCCCTTGTGTAGACACAGAGCGAAGAAATGCACAGAAAGACTAAGGCCAGCCTCAGATTCAGCTACGGGAAGTGACAGACATTAGACTTCATACCACGGATCCCAAGTTTGGCCTCTGAGATCTGTGCCTGGGGATTACAACGTTTACACAAGATCCAGAACATCGGACACAATGGGACAAGTTCTCAGACCCAGAGGCCTGGTTTGTTAGAACCCCCCATTACAATACGATCCTGGAACACCCAGCCTCACCCACCTGAACTTCCCTAGTTACATAGTTACCTTCCACTCTAGTCTGGGACTTGGCACACCTGGACTCATTTCCCTGCTTCATCAGACTTCCTGTGACCTTGGGCAAGTCACTTCGCCTCTCTGTGCCTCAGTTGCCCAACTGTACCCTGTCAGGTCTCACCTTGGCAGCAGAGAATCCCATCCTCTCGCAGAGCCGTCTTCATCAGCTGGTAGTAGGATTCTTTGAACAAGCTCTCTGCAGGACCTGGGCGTAGGACGACACAGAGTTGGCTCAGGGGCCATGAAAATCCCTTTATGGCTTCACCGGGCTCCAGACCAGACCAGAGCTGTGCAGCACCAGAGGGTCTAGACACTCAGGTTTGGTACCAGGCAAAACTCGATTGTTTTAGAAAAGAAAGTTCTGAATTATTTTTCATGTATTACAAACAGTGACTAGAGGGGAGCTGGGGTGTTCAGGGCTGGGGTTCTGGTTTGGCCCACTCCAATTTTCTCTTTGCTAATTGGCAAACATAATGCTCCTCTCAAAAATAAAAACCTTGTGATCTCACCCCCCTGCTCGGCAGATTCAAGAGCAGCAGCAAAGGGCACTGGGGTTAAGTAGGCTCGTCTGAGATGGGACAATAGTTGCTGAAGGAACCCCCTACTATGGGAATCAGGAGAGCAGAACCTCCCCCATGCCGAATGCCCTTTACCTCCCTACTCCCACCCTCCAAACGTGGCAGTGTTGCCAACGGGAGCAGCACACACAAGTAAAAGGTCAAGCGCAAGGCAGCATTGGGTATGGTCTCAAAGAGAGGAAAGATGATCAACTGGCAAAGGTGCCAACTTGGAACCCAGGTTCGGTTCAATTCAATTCTGGCCCAAATGCCTGTGAGACCGTCAGCAAGTCACTATGGGGACAATGTTTTAGAATCATTTTGGTGCCTAATTCCCATTGGGAGCTAGATGCCCAAATACCTTCACAATTCTGGTCCTTTGTAGCTGTGTCTTGATTACCCATATGAAAAACGGGGCAATAGCATTTCCTACCTCCCAGGGGTGTTGGGAGGACAAATACATGAAAGACCATGCGGCTCTTAGTTACTGTGGTAAGAGGATCAGCAAGTACCGAAGGAAGGTTGCTAGCTCCCTTTGCTTTTCTAGGGGGTGGCAGGGCACGGACAGAGGAAGCGAGAAGACTGAGGACTGGTGTCCACTGGAAACTTACATCAGTATAGCTATGTCCCTCCTGGGCATGAAACACCCACACCCTGAGAGACGTGACGATAGCGACCTAACTGCACTGCACATAATGCTAGGCTGATGGATTCTTTTATCAAATGGGCTACGACCTCCTGGGAAGGCGGATTACCTGCACCAGTGGGAGGGATTCTGTCGGCGGAGGTAGTGTCTACACCAGTGTGTCTCAACCTTTTTTATAAAGTACCCCTTTTACAAAAAAAATTTTAAGTGCCCCCCGTACCTACAATTTTCAGACACACAATTTATTCCTACCATTGCAACACATTTGTTTAAACAACTTAATCATAGCTGGGCAGGTGATGAAATTTTTGGGTGTAAAAAGTACAAAAATAATAAAACGCTGTAAAACTTAAACCAAAAATTCAGTTTTTTCCAAGTTTCAGTTGTGTTGGCGTGCTCCCCACCCAGACGTCTCTCGAGTACCTCTAGGGGACTCGTACCACTGGTTGAGACACATTGGTCTACGTGACAGAGTAACGTCTAAGCTTGTATCGGGCTGATTACAGAAGTCTCCACACTAAACTTTTGCTCCACCAACTTCACTTCCTTGCTACACTGACTTAGCTACCTCTCTACAAGAGGCGCAGAGTCAGTGTTGATGCAGTTAGTCAATGCAGCATCCACATACACGCTGTGCTGCTTACACAGACTGTCACTGCTTTGAGAAGCCATCCCACAATGCCTCACGCTGACAGTGCAATTGGTACAAGCGCTCCTGGTGAGGATGCGCACTGCCCATGCAAGGAGCGAAGCACGGACATGCAAAGGTGATGCAATTACTGCAGTGGCGGGATGCAGACGTAACTTAGGTCGACATAATTCTGTAGGTCTACAGTGTGCAGTAGCAGCCCGACAGCTGTCGTGCGTTAAGTGTAGGCCTATAGTGAGTAGGCAGGGAGCACTGGCAAGCAAGAGTTCTTTTTCAGACTCTAGAATGAACTAGCTGCTAGGACCAGTAATCAGATTGCCTCTGAGGGCTGGGGCACAGAGCCCTGAATGGGGAAGTAGGATTGCTGGCGCTCAGCCTTGCTCCTACGCTGGCAAAGGAACAACTTTCAGATGCACTTTCATGCCCAGAGGCTAAACAGACACAGAAGGAGTACTTCACAGCACCTCTGTGATTTGCATCTGGACCCCACCCCGATACTTCTCCATCAAAGGATTATAAGTGATAGGAAGAGAGTGATTTCTCTGAGCTGGGAGAGAAGATTTGCCACTCCACTTCTGCACTGCCCCAGTGAGGTGCACAGAATGGAAAGATGGACAGACTGCAGGGAGGCAAGGAGCGTGTGCGGGGGAGGGACCAACCTCTACCCTCCCCTTTCCATCAGGTTCTCACCCATGGGGTCCGAGGAGTCTGTGATAATCACATCAAAGGCTTCTTGATTCTGTTTCATGAACTCAAAGCCGTCCCCAACGTGCAGGGTCAGCTTGGGGCTGGAATAGCCCACTGCCATCCCCGGGAGGTATTTCTTTGATACCTGAATCACTTCCTGTAACAGACACCACAAACAAGTCAGCATAAAGTACACAGAGTGCAGCAGCTCCCCATGCAGGTACTCTGCTCATTTCCTTTCACACCCTCAGCTCAGACCCACCTTACCACCCATCTGAGAGAAGTTGGTTCCCAGCACCTTAAGGATTTCCTGCCACACACAGCCCTTTCCTAGGGCCCGAGTTGAGCAACATTCCTGCACAATCAGTGCCAACCCTAAAGTGCTTGCAATTTTTTAAGGGGCCATGAAGAACTGAAAGGATCCAGTTATACAGTCCTGCCCACACCCTTCTCCCCGGGGAGATCATCCACAGAGGCAGATCCTGATCAACAGGACAGGTTTCTTTTAAACTCTGAAAATTACCAGTGTGGTTTTTAAACAGGAAAGACTCTCCCATCTCTGCCCCTGAGCCCTTATTTCCCTGTGCAAGCTTCCTGGTCTAGGCCTCTCCATACCAGGCTGGGGAGAACATCCCATTTCTTTGAGGTGGTCCCCCTGGCTGCTAAAATCCTTATGGGTTGCAGAGTTGCAAGATGACACTAGTGTCAGCTGTTCGGAGACCCTCCCTGTGCTCAGTGGCCACCACAGTCCCGATTCAAGCCAAGACACACTCGGCCAGCATCATTATTTCATTTATTAGGGAGGCTGGGAATGGACTCTGGGCTTTGTGCTCATCCTCAGACAGCTCCTATTTCCCAGCATGATGGTGACCGCTTCTGAAACTAACGCCACCATAAACTAAACTGGAGCCTGGACAGACCTGCCTACCAGCAGAAGTTCCTATATTCAGCTGTAGGACACCAACTAAGCAGTGACCTAACCGAGGGACAAAGGCCCCTCACATTGGAAGATGCGTTGTCCCTGTCAAGGGACGAAAAAGGATCCATCAAAGACAGAAGAACTTCCGTCCTCTGGAGCCCAGCCTTCAGACCCTGCACCTGGACTGGATTAGCCTCTAAGGGACTCCCCAAGTGTGCATGTGGAAGAAGCAATAGGAAAGTCAGATTGTTGCGATGCAGGACTGTGGCGATGGGGTTGTCGTTGCCATGCCAACATGACAAGGAATGAAAGCACTGTCTATAGGGACAGTAGCAGCAGAGGAAGCACTAAGAGCAGCTTCAAAATCCTAGCTACCATTCTCTGGGAGCAGCTCTACCACTCTGCAGTCTACAGATTTGACTGAAACTAAAGACACAGCCACACCACTTCATGATTTACGTACCTCGTCAATTTCACACTGCACCACAGAGTCCACAGATGGGTGCTTGACCACTTCTCGTAAGACTCCCCCATCGCCACCACCAATAATTAGCACCTGAGACAGGAGAACGGAAACAGAAGAGTCAGCTTGGTCCAGTCAGCCTGGAAGGTTTGTAGCAAGGACTAGATCAGGGAAGTTGGCCCAGAAAAATCCAGTCACAATACTTCCAAAGCTCTGCCACGGACACATTCCTCCTCTGGAAATAGGCATATTAGTATGTCTCACGCTGTGAGGAATGCTTGGGAAATGTTTTGCACACTCCAGGCAAAAGTGCTACAGAAGTCTAGAGCGCTCTGTTTGTATTGATGGATCTCACACACTGCCTTTGGGTTCAATACATAAAAATGAAAAACAGACAGAACAACTGTCATTTAAGCAGGACTTCTAAAATTGTTGGCAAGAGTGACCTAGCATCAGCCAAACCACCATGTACTACCTTGCGGGGATTTGGGTGGCTGCAGAGAGGTAGGTTGGCAATCATCTCCTGGTAGGAAAACTCATCTCTCTCGGTGCACTGGATTACCCCATCAAGCACTAGCACATTTCCGTAAGTCTTACTGCAAAGGCAAGAGAAACAAAGAGCTCTGAGAGGAGTGCTCTCTGAGAAAAGGCTTGTGGCAGCAAGATCCCAAGGGAGGTGTTATGCATAAGTCTCTCCCCCAAGCAGTGCTGCCTCCTTCCCCTGACTAAATGTTGGGCAAGCCTCTCTCTGGTGTCTGAAACAAAATACAGGACTATGTAGCACTTTAAAGACTAACAAGATGGTTTATTAGATGATGAGCTTTTGTGGGCCAGACCCACTTCCTCAGATCAAATAGTGGAAGAAAATAGTCACAACCATATATACCAAAGGATACAATTAAAAAAATGAACACACATGAAAAGGACAAATCAAATTTCAGAACAGAAGGGGGCTGGGGAGGGAGGGGGGGAAGAGTAAATGTCTGAGAGCTAATGATGTTAGAGGTGATAATTGAGCTCATCACCTATTAAATCATCTTGTTAGTCTTTAAAGTGCTACATAGTCCTGCTTTTTGTTGCAGCTACACCAGACGAACAGGGCTACATTTCTATCACTATTCTGGTGTCTGAGATATTTGTAAAGAATCACCCCCTCCCTCATGCTATGCTCTTGTCCCACGTGGCCTCAGGGCAAGGGCTGGGACCCACGTGCTAGCACCCAGGGCTGTATCTCCGGCCAGCTTTCCCTCTGATTTTTCCAAGCGGGCCGAATAAATTTTCTTCCATGCACGGAACCACGGGCTGGGGTGCACCACCAGCAGAAACACGTGCAGTCCGGCTGTGGCGGGCCCTCTGCGAATCAGCCGAGGGCTATCGGACTCTCCCTGCCCGATGTGCACAGCTGGCAGGGAACCCCGGGACCCAGAGGGGAGCGCGGGGAAGGCGGACACGGTTCGCCCTGCTCGGCCACCCAGGGCTGCGGGCGGGGACAGAGGCAGGGGAGCGGGGGTCCCTGGGGCCCAGTCGCGGGGCAGCTCCACCCCCCGGCTCCCGAGCGCGGCCGGCCCCTGGCTGCCCGCCCCCCCCCCGCCCCCCGCCCCGCACCCC